CGCTAGTGTGGACACAGAGCGTTTTTTAAACGAAAGCGCCAGAAAACGCTAGTTTGGACGGGGAGCGTTTTTAAACGAAAACGGCAGAAAACACTAGTGTGGACGCGGAGCATTTATAAACGAAAACGCCTAAAAACGCTAGTGTGGACGGGGAGCGTTTTAAACGAAAATACCTGAAAACACTAGTGTGGATGGTGAGCGTTTTAAACGAAAATACCTGAAAACACTAGTGTGGACGGGGAACGTTTTTAAATGAAAACGGCTGAAAACACTAGTGTGGACGGGGAGCATTTATAAACGAAAACGCCTAAAAACACTAGTGTGGACGGGGAGCGTTTTAAACGAAAATACCTGAAAACACTAGTGTGGATGGTGAGCGTTTTAAACGAAAATACCTGAAAACACTAGTGTGGACGCGGAGCGTTTTTAAATGAAAACGGCTGAAAACGCTAGTGTGGACGGGGAGCGTTTTAAACGAAAATACCTGAAAACACTAGTGTGGATGGTGAGCGTTTTAAACGAAAATACCTGAAAACACTAGTGTGGACGCGGAGCGTTCTTAAACGAACACGGCTGAAAACACTAGTGTGGACAGGGAGTGTTTTTAAACGAAAACGGCTGAAAACACTAGTGTGGACAGGGAGTGTTTTTAAACGAAAACGGCTGAAAACACTAGTGTGGACAGGGAGCGTTTTAAACGAAAACGGCTGAAACGCTAGTGTGGACAGGGAGTGTTTTTAAACGAAAGCGCCTGAAAATGCTAGTGTGGACGGGGAGCGTTTTTTAAACGAAAACGGCTGAAACGCTAGTGTGGACACAGAGCGTTTTTTAAACGAAAGCGCCAGAAAACGCTAGTTTGGACGGGGAGTGTTTTTAAACGAAAACGGCTGAAAACGCTAGTGTGGACGGGGAGTGTTTTTAAACGAAAGCGCCTGAAAACGCTAGTGTGGACGGGGAGCGTTTTTAAACGAAAACAGCTGAAAACGCTAGTGTGGACGGGGAACGTTTTTAAACGAAAACAGCTGAAAACGCTAGTGTGGACGGGGAGCGTTTTTAAACGAAAACGGCTGAAACGCTAGTGTGGACACAGAGTGTTTTTAAACGAAAGCGCCAGAAAACGCTAGTTTGGACGGGGAGTGTTTTTAAACGAAAACGGCTGAAACGCTAGTGTGGACACAGAGTGTTTTTAAACGAAAGCGCCAGAAAACGCTAGTTTGGACGGGGAGTGTTTTTAAACGAAAACGGCTGAAAACGCTAGTGTGGATGGTGAGCGTTTATAAACGAAAACGGCTGAAAACACTAGTGTGGACGGGGAACGTTTTTAAACGAAAATGGCTAAAAAAGCTAATGTGGAGGGGGGAGTGTTTTTAAACGAAAGCGCCTGAAAACTCTAGTGTGGACGGGGAGCGTTTTTAAACGAAAGTGCCTGAAAACACTAGTGTGGACGGGGAGCGTTTTTAAACGAAAGTGCCTGAAAACACTAGTGTGGACGGGGAGCGTTTTAAACGAAAACGGCTGAAATGCTAGTGTGGACGGGGAGCGTTTTAAACGAAAGTGCCTGAAAACACTAGTGTGGACGGGGAGCGTTTTAAACGAAAACGGCTGAAAACACTAGTGTGGACGGGGAACGTTTTTAAACGAAAATGGCTAAAAAAGCTAGTGTGGAGGGGGGAGTGTTTTAAAAACGAAAACGGCTGAAAACGCTAGTGTTGACGGGGAGCGTTTTTTAAACGAAAGCGCCTGAAAACTCTAGTGTGGACGCGGAGCGTTTTTAAACGAAAACGTCTGAAATGCTAGTGTGGACGGGGAGCGTTTTAAACGAAAGCGCCTGACAACTCTAGTGTGGACGGGGAGCTTTTTAAACGAAAGTGCCTGAAAACACTAGTGTGGACGGGGAGCGTTTATAAACGAAAACGGCTGAAAACACTAGTGTGGACGGGGAACGTTTTTAAACGAAAATGGCTAAAAAAGCTAATGTGGAGGGGGGAGTGTTTTTAAACGAAAGTGCCTGAAAACTCTAGTGTGGACGGGGAGCGTTTTTAAACGAAAGTGCCTGAAAACACTAGTGTGGACGGGGAGCGTTTTAAACGAAAACGGCTGAAATGCTAGTGTGGACGGGGAGCGTTTTAAACGAAAGTGCCTGAAAACACTAGTGTGGACGGGGAGCGTTTTAAACGAAAACGGCTGAAAACACTAGTGTGGACGGGGAACGTTTTTAAACGAAAATGGCTAAAAAAGCTAGTGTGGAGGGGGGAGTGTTTTAAAAACGAAAACGGCTGAAAACGCTAGTGTTGACGGGGAGCGTTTTTTAAACGAAAGCGCCTGACAACTCTAGTGTGGACGCGGAGCGTTTTTAAACGAAAACGTCTGAAATGCTAGTGTGGACGGGGAGCGTTTTAAACGAAAGTGCCTGAAAACACTAGTGTGGACGGGGAGCGTTTTAAACGAAAACGGCTGAAAACACTAGTGTGGACGGGGAACGTTTTTAAACGAAAATGGCTAAAAAAGCTAGTGTGGAGGGGGGAGTGTTTTAAAAACGAAAACGGCTGAAAACGCTAGTGTTGACGGGGAGCGTTTTTTAAACGAAAGCGCCTGAAAACTCTAGTGTGGACGCGGAGCGTTTTTAAACGAAAACGTCTGAAATGCTAGTGTGGACGGGGAGCGTTTTAAACGAAAGCGCCTGACAACTCTAGTGTGGACGGGGAGCTTTTTTAACGAAAGTGCCTGAAAACACTAGTGTGGACGGGGAGCGTTTATAAACGAAAACGGCTGAAAACACTAGTGTGGACGGGGAGCGTTTATAAACGAAAACGGCTGAAACGCTAGTGTGGACAGGGAGCGTTTATACACGAAAATGGCTGAAAACGCTAGTGTGGACGGGGAGCGTTTTTTAAACGAAAACGCCGTTTTTAAATGTATCCGGATTAATGTGGACGTAGCCTAGATCAGACTCCTATTACTCGGCTGGATCGTGTCGAGACTTTGAAGCTGCACTGAAACCTTCGACCCGTTGGACCCATTGAAGTCACTGTATGGAGAACAATCCATTTCTTTTCGACTGAAGAAAGAAAGACATGAACCTCTCGGATGACGTGCGGGAGAGTAAATCATCAGGACATTTTAATTCTGAAGTGAACGACTCCTTTAAGTGACAGAGCCTGCTTCAGTAAAACCGTAGGAGCCGCCAGCCTTCCCAAGACGAGCCAGAGGGAATCCAAAAATAAACAGCCACTCATTCTTTTAATTAAAGGTGAATCAGTTGGCCTGTGGCAAAACGCCCCCAACCAAACTCCAAACAAAATCATCCATTCTTAAACAGTTCAATATGAGATGACAGCGGGTTACGGGTTAGGAAAGGAGTCTTGGGACGCCTGCAGAAGACTATCGAATGGCTCATCCTGTTCTTTCAATACCCGTGCCACTAACTGTTAAACTTCAGGGGTCCCGTCACATCTCAGCCCATCTAATCGGGTTGGACTTAAACAATGAGACAGGGCTAAACCGAATGCACCTGCAAATGAGAATTGATGTAGTGCGTATTGCCTCTACCTGTGTGATGAATGGGTCTGAGTAAACTATCGGATGTGCTCAGAAGCGTGGACAGCTGGTGAGGGATTGACACGGGAATACGGTGTCTGCTCATTCCCGTTTTCCTGTTAGCCCTTAAATAGCAGCCCGAGACAAGTAGCGCTACAACAATCCAGGTTTCAATTACATGCTGATGAATTCCCAAGACATTAATAAGGAGAAATAAGCAAAGAAACTGCATGCACTTGAAACCGCAATGCTCAATATCAGACTGGTTTCAATGACTCGCAAAACACACAACTTTATGAAGCATTTTTGCTTCACTAACGGATTTGCTGAACTGGCGTATTAGAAATCCCAAGGCAAGACAAAGCATCAATTGAGTTTTTACATGCATGAAATCCTAATATATATAACGAAGTCCATGTTTGTTACCTGATATGTTTAGTTAAATTGCATACAATATGAAAGTGATAAATATGCAATATGCAAATATTGTGAAGTATTGCATAATATAGTCTTTCATGTCAAAAGTAATACCACTATGGCGCTTTTTGTGTTATTTTGGAGTACCATATGATAATCATCCACTCCCATCTTATACATCAAAATAACATCTTAAGCCATCACTGTTCTATGGTAATGCCTTTGAGAGGAATGTAAAACAATAATTGACTATGGCTGTTTTGGTAGTATCGTGTTTTATTGGACATGTATTCATTTGGATCACCGTGCAAATACGAATATATTAATCCTAAAGTGCCAATATTACCGTCACTGTACAACTATCCTGATTACTTTAAAGTATTAATACATAAACATCATGACCTCTGCAAGAAATTGATTTGCAATGGTTTTCGAATAGTGAACCATAACTCGTAGACTACATGGTAAATGTTGGAGGACCATTAAAATACCATGGTACATAAATATAATCATTCAGTACCATTATTGCCATCATGCACACTATAGTAGCCTACTAATATAATCCTAAACATTAATACAAAGCAATAAGCAAGAAACCATTCAGCAGTGTTACTAGATACTGTAGTCCTGTACCATGGTATTTCCTTGCGTACATTGGAGTACCATACAAAAACAAGGGTAAACGAATATGGTAATCATTTCAAAGTACCGTGAGACTGCTATATTACTAATAAATATTAATACAAACCAATCATGACCTCAGAAAGAAATTAATTTAACAGTGAATTATTGGAACCATGCATGGTTCTAGTAGTACCATGTTATTTATTTCCGTATATTGAATTACGATGCAAACACCATGGTACATCATTCGTGTAACTAAGAACACCAGTATTGCGATGCCATCACTGTCTGTGGTGCAGTACTTTTAAAAACCATCGTTCTAGTATAAAACATTTAAAGCAATTATTTCCCGTAAAGCATAATCCTAAACCGCGCACACGTCAGTGTTTAATGAATGTTCTGCAGGTGAAAGAGAAACGCACCTGTGTTTCCACGCGAGCGCCGAGCTGAGGAATCCATCGCTCCGCGTCCGGCGCGCGTCTCTCTCGCGCTCACGGGAACTGTTCTGGGTTAGAGCTCGGTTCGGTTCGGTTCTCTCGCCGTCGTGTCTCCTCTCGAAGTGTCGTTTCCTCCTAAAGAAGAGCGGAACTAAATCACATCACTCCTTCAGGTCCAGCAATGCTGTTTCTCCACACGCGCTGAGCGCGAGACTGACGAGCACACCGAGAGAGAAGCGCGCGGAGTTCACTGTGTGTGTGCGCGCGACCGCGTGTATGTGTGTTTGTGTGTTGAGGGAGGAGTCGTTTTGATGCGCGCACAACTCAAAACAATATCAGTATTT